TGGTCTCAATTCACCAATCAAATGAAACAGACTGGCAGAATGGGTCAAGAAGCAAGATCCAGCAATATGCTGCATACAAGAAACACACTTAATTCAAAAAGAAACTCATAGACTGAAAGTTAGAGGGTGGAAAACAATACTCCATGTGACAGAAACCCGAAAAAAACCAGAAGTAGCTATCCCCTTTGCAGATCAAGTGGATTTCTAACCAAACTGATTAAGAGAGACAAAGAGGGACACTACATCCTTGTAAAGGGAACAATCCAAGAGGAAAAGATGACAATCATAAATATCTATGCACCAAATGCTAGTGTGCCCAACTATATAAAACAAATACCAATGGACATGAAAAATCAAATAAGCAATAACACAGTGGTAGTGGGGGACCTCAATAGCCCACTGTCACCAATAGATAGATCAACTAGACAAAAAATAAACAATGAAATATTAGAACTCATTCAAACTCTTGAACAAATGAACTTAACAGATGTTTACAGAGTGTTCCACTGCACTAAATCAGAATACACATTCTTTTCAGCTGCACACAGGTCATTCTCCAAAATGAACCACATGCTCACTCATAGAACATGTTTAAGTAAGTGCAAAGAATCAAAGTTATCCCCTGTATATTATCAGACCATAGCACGATGAAATTGGAGATCAATATCGAAAGAAACTGCAAGAATTTCATAAACACATGGAAATTGAACAACACACTTCTGAATAAGGAATGGGTCACAGAGGAAATTAAAGAGGAAATCAGACAGTTCCTTCAGTTAAGTGACAAAGACAATACAACATATCAGAATCTATGGGATACAATGAAAGCAGTCTTATGAGGGAAATTCATAGCAGTGAATACTCATATTAGGAAAACAGAGCCAGCCAAATTAAACAACCTGATGCTGAACCTCAAGCTTCTTGAAAAAGAAGAACAGGACAAACTCAAAGCATACAAGGGAAGAAATTATAATGATCAGACCAGAAATCAATGTAATGGACACTGAGAGAACAATGCAAAAAATCAATGAAGCCAAGAGTTGGTTCTTTGAAAGAATAGACAAGATTGACAAACCCTTAGCCAACCTTATCAGAAAAAGGAAAGAAAAGGCCCAAATCCATGCAATTAGGAATGAAAAGGGTGAAATTACAACA